GGGTGAAATCTCTCTCAGGGAGGAGTGGACACACTGGCAAAGGACACACTGACAAAGGAGATTAGTCAGAACTGGCTTTGACAAGCACTGTGGCAATGGGACAATTAAAACAGACTTTCAAGGGGGGAGAAATAAAGAGGAACGAACTGAGGGGGAGGGTAGAGAAAATAGTGCAACAATGAATGAATGGAGACCCAAAATCTCTGTAAATGTTCATTAAAATTGAATAAAAAAAAAAAAAAGAGTTGCAGCCTCGAAAACCCAGTGGAGGATCACTGAGTCCAGGAGATTGGACGTCAATGGGTGATTAACCTTTATTGGAGCAAATTGCCTGGTCTTTAATGGAATTGCTAGTGCACTTAGCAATTGTACTTAGCAATTAACCTTTCAATTAACAGCCAAGCTCTTGGAGAATCCTCTAGCTTCTTGCCAGTCAACATGTCCCTGAACCAGCAGTGGTATCTCACCTCGAAACTTGTTAGAAACACAAAGCCTCAAGCCTCACTGCAAACCTACTGAGTCAGAACCTGCATTTTAACAAGATTCCCAGGTGATTTGTGCCTGGTCAAGTGAGAAGTGCTTCAGAGGCCAGGTCAAGTGTGGCTGCAGCCTATTTTGTTTGAACTCCAAGCTTAGAATGGGTTCCACACCAACTCCTCCCCACCAATAAAAAACCCACTACCATACACATAAAGAAGAATACTTATATAGCATATTTAAAATTCATATGACATTCAAATTTCAGTATCCATAAATAAATTTTTATTGTAACTCAGCTGTGTGCATTCATTTACCTACTATCTCCAGCTGCTTTTGCATTACAATAGCAGAGACTTGAAACCAGGAACACATAGCTCTCAAAGCCTAAAAGACTTATCACCTGGCCTCACTCCTAAACCGCTCCTCATGAGCCTCACTCAGAGATCTCAAACTCAACACCTGCTGTGCCGCATCTCTCTTCCTTCTTCTCACTGGGAACCCGCACTCTTTGTCCTGGGGTCCTCACCCAAGAACAACCACCTCCAAGAGTCCCCTAAACCAAATACCTGGAAGTCGTGCCTTATGTGTCTCTTTACCCTCCCCATTCCTGAGAGCTGACAAGGTGGTTAAGAGCGGGGGTCCGAAACTGTACAAACGGTGGTATATTTACACAATGGAGTGGTATGTACCATTAAAAACTATCAAAAATTGATGAGATACTGCACAATGTGAAGGAATCTAGAACAAATTCTACTGTGTGACAATTACGATATAAGACCTCTAATAAAAAGGGCCAAAAAAAGGTTTCTACAGATAGAATCAATCCTGGAGGGTTCACAGGCATGAGAAGAGAGGGAGAGGAGAGTAAAAATGAATAAACAGATAAGCTGGATGAAGGAAAAGGTGACACACAATAAGGGGTTGATTAGACACTGTCATTAATTACAGTAATCACTGGCAATTAATTATAAAACAAAATGTCTGAATTAAATGTCTACAATTGTATGAAAAAAAGATTTGATTTGGAGGCCTTAACTGAATTTATTATTTTTTTTTTAATAGGAGCAGAGGTCTGGAACCAGAGCAAGGCCATCAATAAGAGGTGTGAGTTAAAACAGTTAACCATTACCATTTGGCGTCACTGTCCTCTTGTGTAAACTGGGGTGGGAGCGGGGAGCCGTATGGGCAGGCATCTGAGAGGGCGCTGAGAGGTGAGTTACTGCGCGCTGTGCTTAGGGAAATGTCTGGAACTTATTAGCGGAGTTGGCTCTGATTCGACACACCCTAATGTACAACAGAATGGAAAGCCATCCAGGACTGTGCCATCCTCACAATTGCCCCATGTTCAAGTTAGTCATGTGGCTATCAGGCAAATCCAACTCACCCACCCATTGCCCTCATCTGCCCCAAATTCACCAAACACGATGTCCTAGACGAGGTGTCCAGATGATGTGTCCAATGTGAGTGAGTTAGACAGGTGGACCTTTCAAAGAGCTCTACGAGCATCAGCTTGTTTATGATTCCTTTTACCCAGGGAAACGCAGGTCAGGCTTCCTGTCCCTCCACTGCTCTCACATCCCTCCGCTTCGTACCACTCACCGGATCCCTCTTGGATGCATGTTCTTGTTCCATGCTCACTGTCCAGCACCACTTACTGAGTTGTGTGCTTTGCCTTGGGGGAGGGGATCCACTAACATGTCATGTCTCCTCCTGACCCCGGTGTCCAGGCTTGGCTAGTGCCTTTGGCTAAGGTCCAATATTATAACTGAATAACAGAGGACCTAGTGACCAGGCCACACCATCCTCCTGAGACAGCCTGGCCTGAAAAGAGAAAAACACCTTTTTCTAAAATGTTTGATGCTTTTCAGAAGTCTTCAGGTGGCCTAGAAGACAGCCTATTGGTGAGACTTTGACTAAGGCTTTACTTAAGAGAAGAGGGTAGCAGGGTGGCACAAAGACTCAGGAGCACAGATACGAGCTCTGGCTTCTCCAACTTCTTGTCATATAATTGACCTCAAGTTGGTGATGTCACTTACCCATCGTATTTTTGTTTCCTTATCTGGACCTTGAGGGGACAGAATAGATATAGCTAAAACCAGAACGGAAAAGGATGGGGGGCGATCATGAAGCAGGCCTGGGAATCCACAGGGCTGAGCAAAAGGCCAGCCCCCTTCCACTTCCTGAGTCTGGCTTCAGAGCACTGTTAGGAAGATAAGGTGCCCTTGGATAT